GGGCGGATTGCTCGAGGTCGGGAGTTCAAAACCAGCCTGAGCAAGAGCGAGACCCCGTCTCTACTATAAATAGAAAGAAACTAATTGGCCAACTAATATATATAGAAAAAAATTAGCCGGGCATGGTGGCGCATGCCTGTAGTCCCAGCTACTCGGGAGGCTGAGACAGAAGGATCGCTTGAGCCCAGGAGTCTGAGGTTGCTGTGAGCTAGGCTGACGCCACGGCACTCACTCTAGCCTAGGCAACAAAGTGAGACTCTGTCTCAAAAAAAAAAAAATAAATAAATAAAAAAATAAAAAGTAACATAATGTGGGAAAAGTATTAAAAGGATATAAAACTCTGTGGTATGTCACAGGTATGCAAAAAACCTAAAAACAGGCAATTTAAATAAAACAAAAAAATGCATAAAGAAAAATACTAGAAAGAGATATACCAAAATGTTAATATGGTTGTCTGAAGATAAAGTAGTTTTTCTTCAGTATGCTTTCTTGTATTTTTTATAATAAACATCATTATATAAATGAAAACAACCAAGTCAATAAATTTCATTTTAAATTTAAGTTGAGGATTGCATAACCCTGTGAATACACTGAAAACATTAATTTGTACATTTTACTGGGTTAATTATATGGTATGTATCTCAATAAAGCTATGTTTAAAAGAAAAATTAGTCACTTGAGCCCACTTAAAATGGAAAAAAAAAAGAAAAATTAGGTTCAAAAACTTGAAAACTTCTAAACAGTCTATCTGAAATAACTAGAAGGTAGTTATTTCAGTATTGTGTTAAAATGTAAATATTTTTCTTAAATTATTGTGTTCTGAGACAAAAATTATTTAATTATTTTAATACTTTCTCTTTGACCCACATTCTTAAATGGCTGCAGAAAACCCAAGGATCAAGTGTAAGTATATATCACCTTCATTTTTACAGTCTTTATACCAGATCATCAGTATTAAAATTTTTGGTAGCCTGCAGTTTACCATTTCTAAGTTTAATATCCAAGTATTTTAGGGGGGAAATTATATTATAAAATTGTAGTGTAAATGTTGACTCTAATATTTATTTTAAGATGTTTGCATTTTAATGTTTGATAAGGAGATACAATAAGAAATTTTAATAGGCTGACTTAAGATAGGTTTTATTTGTGAAACTGTCACTGAAGAAATGATAAAACTTTTTCCTTTTTAAAGGAAACTACTTTGTGTAGTTATACACTATGCTTTTTATTCTTACAATACATAGTATAGAAAATCTGAAGATAAACTTTCTTTTCTTTCTTTTTTTTTTTTAAGAGATGGTGTCACGCTGCCCAGGCTGGAGTGCAGTGGTTCAATCATGCCTCACTGCAGCCTTGCACTCCTAGCCTTAAGCAATCCTCCTGCCTTGGCCTCCTGAGTAGCTGGAACTATAAGTGAGCACCACCATGCCTGGCTAAGTAAGAGATAAGATCTTGCTGTGTTGCCCAGGCTGGTTTTGGACCCAAGTGGCTCAAGTGATCCTGCCACCTCAGCCTCCCAAATACCTGGGATTATGGGCATGAGCCACTGTACCTGACTGGAGATAAACTTTTTCTTCTCAGTCTTTTAAAATGATGAACTTTGAAAGTGATGTTTTGTATTTCCATAATCTATACTGTGTTTGCTGTGGTTCATTCAATAAATATTTGACCCTAGACATTGGGAATAGAGCAATAATAAGATAATATCCTCTTATAAAGCTCATATTCTAGTATGAGAGATAGATAAAAATGAATAAGATGATTTCATTTGAAGTAAGACTTGTCAGTGTCCTATGAAAAAAAATAGAAAAAATAAAATTATTAAAATAAAGAAAAACTTTTTTTAAAAAAAGATGATTTCAGATATTTATCAATGCCATGAGGGAAATAAAGCAGGGCAATGGAATAAAGAATTATAGTGAGTGTAGTGTAAGGAGCAGTATTATATATGAGGATATGATATGGTGAGAAAGAGCCACTCAAGTGATGACCTAGAGGAAGATCAGCCACAGAGAAGCAATAGTAAATGAAAAGCCCGGTGTAAGCACAAGGAGGGGAGAGCAGTACTAGATGGGTGGACCTGAAAATTCAGGACTTCCACACCAGGCTAAAATAAATAATTGGGGGAATAAGGTAGTCATAAATGGAAAGTTGGCTTGAGTATATGAAACAAAGATAAGCATAAATGGGCACTTTTCTAATGAAGTATGACTGTGATGTGTTTGGATGAAGGACAGCATAGTTTCCATAAAGACCCTGCTCTTCTGGACTTAGAGCTTTGAGAGAACTTGGTGGAACAGCATGCATAAGCTCTTTGGGGGCCAGGGTTTTGTTTTTCACACTTGGCACTCCTTAATGGTACCTAGTTCTTTGCACATAATTATTATACATAGGCATACAGTAAATCATTGGTAAAATGAATTTTTGTACACTTTGACAAGGTTTCATCCAGTAGCCAGTTATGTATGTCTTAATACAAGTTAAATTTTGAAAAATAGATTCTAATCTGGTCACTTTAACATTAAAGTATTTTTAATCACTATATAAGAATGATTCTGGGATCTAAAAGATGTATTTAAGTACTTCTTACAAGGAAATATACTTACATGTAAAATCAGTCTCTAAAAACAGAAAATTCCAGTTGAATGTATACTTGTAAAAACTTATTTTTCCAATATTTTATTATATATTCATAAATTGTGTATTTTGTGAAAATAAGCAACATATTTAAGATTTCAATAATACATGAGCCAAGCATAGGGTTAATTCTTTTCCATTGCTGTTTTTTAAAAGTTACGCTTGAGGCTGGGCGCAGTTGCCATGCTTGTAATCCTAGTACTCTGGGAGGCTGAGGTGGGAGGATTGCTTGAGCTCAGGAGTTCGAGACCAGCCTGAGCAAAAACGAGACCCCATCTCTACTAAAAATACAAAAATTAGCTGGGTATCTTGGTGTGTGCCTGTAGTCTCAGCTACTTGGGAGGCTGAGGCAGGAGGATAGCTTGAGCCTAGGAGTTTGAGGTTGCTGTGAGCTAGGCTGACGCCATGGCACTCTATTCAGAGCAACAGAGTGAGACTGTGTCTCAAAAAAAAAAGTTATGTTGTAAATTCTATTTTAATAATTTCAGTAAAGATTATATGTCTAATGATTTCAGTAAAGATTATATGCTACAGAGCAGATATGCTTTTTTTTTAAGTTTTAGGTGATTAATATGTAGAACAATGTTAGCAGTACTGTCATTCCTTAATTTATTCCATTGTTTTACTCAGCTGTCTGGTCCTTTAAAAGAGAAACAAAGTCTGGCAGCTCATTTGCATATGTTAAAATGTAAATACATAAAATAATTTTCTATTTTGTTTTATGAGGCTAGAAGGTCCAGCTTAAAAAACGTGTCTGACCTTTTTGTGATGGGAGGAGCTCTTGTTTTAGAATCTGCAACTCTCTTGCACTGGCTAGAGAGAGAGGGTTATGGACCTCTAGGAATGACTGGAATATCCATGGGAGGACATGTAAGCCCTTTTATTTCTACTTATATTTAATGATGATTGTGTTTATAAGATCTAGGGAATCTGGGTATTTTAAAAATTCACTTTGGGCATAGAATTATTTTTAGTATCAGTAAAAGTTGGAAGCAGAAACAGATTCTGAACTACCATTCCAGTTATGAAGTAATGATGTTAGTTTTTTTGTGTGATTTATGTAGACATTGTACTACTCCACAGTTACATCTCATGTATTTGATTTAAATTTTATTAAAAGTTGATTATAAAATTTAACTTTTCAAGTCCCAAGTATAAATACCCAATTTTGCTGTTAAGTTGGTTGAGATCACTGAATTGGAAAATACTTACCATATCTCTATCCCCAACCTATTTTGCTTTTTTTGTGTGCCTTGTAGAGTTTACTAAAACAGATTCCTACTTGCTTTCTGTGTCTGTAGTCTTTTCTCTCCTTAATCTTTTTCTTGACCATTTTTCCTCTACACCATAACTGCAGTGATGTTTCTAAATTTGATCTCTGCTCTCTCTGCTCAAAACCTGCCCAAAGCTTGCTTTTACATTGGGCTCTAGCTGTGCCACATACTAGCGTCCCTGTAGTGCCCCTTTATTCCCTTTTACCTAGCAGAATAGCAGCTTACCCTTCCAGTTCTAGCTTAGAGCCATGTAGAGTTTACTTCCTATGAGAAGCTCCATCAGACTCCCAGCCTTACCTCCAGACTCTTTCAACTCTCATTAGTACTTTTCACTGTACTGTAATGACTTGTTTAGCAGTCTCAGTCTGTTTTCTACATGAAGCAGTTGGTATACTGAAGGCTAGGAAATATGCTATGGATCATCACCTGGCATGTATTAGTCACTCAGTGCATTTTGTAAAAAATATATGGAGTTTTCTATAGGTCGTTTGAATTATAAAATTAAGTCCAGAAACTTACTCAAATTCAAAACAACTACCAGACAGCAAAACTGAGGGTAGAAAAGGATTTATCTTCCTACCTAGCTGTATTAATATTTCCATTGTTATTACCTAGGCCAGGTCCTGATAACCTTCACCTGGATTACTGCCTATTAACTGGTCTTCCAACTTCAGATTTCACCTACTTTTAATCAATTCTGTAAACTGCTATCATGTTAGTTTCTTTGCATCACTTCTTTGACAATGCTACTCTTTTGCTCAGACCTTTTCACTAATTCCCCATTATCTACAGAACAAAGGGATCTCTAATCTGATCATGATCAAGATTTCTAGCCCTACCTATCTCCCTTACCCCACTGGCCACATCAGCCTATTAATCAGCCAAAGTTAAGTATATTGGTTGTTTCCCTACCAGATCCTTTCTCACCATCTTGCCTTTGATCATACTAGTTTCTTCATATGGAAGAAAAGGCCCTCATCTTTCATTCCTCTTAAAAGACTCAGCTATTTCATGAAGCCTTCCTTCTCTGATTCCTCCAGCCAAAAGTAACTTTTCCCTTCTCTAAACACAAATATCATATTATTTTAATATCTGTTATATAATCTTGCTTTACATCTCACCAAATTCTTAGCATACTCAGCCTGAAAGGTTTTATAGTTGTGATTTTGATGTTTATAAACAAGTCACTTAATTCATAAGTGTGCTTAGCCTGCTGCCCAGCCTCTGCATCTCAGCATGTTTGCTCTATATTTAGTGAACAGTCTTGAGGATACTTAAAATTTTCTATTATACTTTATTGCTTTCTAAGGGGGAAACTGTATGTCATAGTTGAATTTATGATTTTAAAGTTTAAGGAGGTTGCTGGACATTTTCACAAATGTTTACAAACTTTGTGTTTGTCTTATCTGACCAACTGTTAATACTTACTACACAAAGTACTTCTTACTATTAAATATTTTTCATTTTAATTAATGGAAACTTTAAACATAAGCTGTCTAAATCATATTATCATATTACAGATGGCTTCCTTAGCAGTATCCAACTGGCCTAAGCCCATGCCATTGATTCCGTGTCTCTCTTGGTCTACCGCATCTGGGGTCTTCACTACGGTAATTTAATTGCAATGAATATTTAGATAACTATATTTATTTATATATATTAATTGAAGGTAATTTTTTGGGGAGTCCCCAAAAACCACCTGCAGGTTTGCTGATTCATTAGAAGGAATTATAGAACTTACCATATAGTTGTACTCATGACTAAGACTTAACTATAGCAAAAGGATACAACATAAACAATAGAAAGACAAAGCACACAAGGCAAAGTCCAGAGGAAACCAGGATCAAGTTTCCAAGAGTCCTCTCCTAATGGAGTGTGACAGTTCATGTTTAATTCCTCCAGCAATAAGTTGTAACAGTAAATGCAAAGTGCTGTTCATCAGTGAAGCTCCCCTAAGCCTAGAACCCAGGGTTTTTATTAGAGGTCAGTAACTTAGACACCATCTGCCTAGCATGTACCAAAATTCCAGAAGGAAAGCAAGTGTTCAGCAGAATGTACAAACAGTGTAAAACAGTATAGGCACAGTGACCCACTCTTATAATTTAGGGAAAATTTTATATCAGTACAAAGAACTGTTTACTGATCAGGTTCCCAGACTCTAGTCAAGGGCCGACCCTACAAGCAGGCTTAAGGATAGGCATTCTCAAGCCTGCTATGTTAACTCTTTTGTACACAGCAATAATAATAAACATATTGAGTAAAATAACTTTATGGTATGATTTGATCTTAATTTAGTTTATTATTTCAGGGTGTATTGAGTAAATCAATTAATTGGAGGGAGCTGGAAAAGCAATATTATACCCAAACAGTTTATGAAGAAGAAATTATTCACATGCTTGAATACTGTGGAGTAAGTATTTTAATTTCCACATAACATTGGGGAAAAAATTGATTGTATATTTAAATTCAGATTTTTAAAGAGAATAGCAAATTTTTAAAAATATAGTTGTACACATCATATTTTACTTTTAAAAACTCATTTTAAAATAAAACACAAATATGAAAATAATGCAAAGGAAATATATGGTTTACTATTAATACATTTATTAAAGGCCAAACATTGGCTGGGCATGGTGGCTCATACTCATAATCCTAGCACTCTGGGAGGGCAAGGCGAGATGATAGCCTGAGGTAAAGAGTTCAAGACCACCCTAAGCAAGAGCAAGACCCCGTCTCTCCTAAAAATAGAAAGAAAAAAAAAATAGCTGGGTGTGGTGGTACATGCCTGTAGTCCCAGCTACTTAAGAGGCCGAAGCAAGAGGATCACTTGAACCCAGGAGTTTGAGATTGCAGTGAGCTAGGCTGACACCACTGTACTTCAGCCAAGGTGAAAAAACAAGACTCAGTCTCAAAAAAAAAAAAAAAAAAAAAAAAGCAAACACACTGGTAACTACTCCTAGGTCAAAAATAGAACTTGACCACCCAACCCTAAAACCCCTTCCATGTGTCCTAATGATAAGGCTTTCCTCTTTTTTTTATCTCCTCTTATTAATTACTATTAATAATTATCCTGATTTTTCCAGTAATTACTTCCTTCTGTCTTTAAAATAATCTTATTGTCCAAATGTATATCCCTAGACCTTATAGTTCTTTTATTTGATGTGTCTTTTAATCTGTAAGTTCCCTTCCATCCCTTTCTTTTCCTTTTTCTCAAAGAACTTAGGTTATTTTGACCTGTAGAGTTTCTCAGAATCTAGATTTTTCTGATTATATTCAGCATATTACTCTACATTGCCTGCAAATTGGCAGCTGGATTTAAAGGCTTGATTAAACTCAGTTTTGATTACTTTCTCAAGATTATAGGAGATACATAATGTTTGATTGTCTCTTTTCTTGTGAAGTAAGCTTCCACTGATGCTTAATGGTTATATCTGTTAATTCATGGAGGGTTTCAAAATGCTAATATTCTAATTATATTATTTATTTTTCATTTATTAGTTTGAATACTTATATATATGTTTATATGTGTGTATGTGTGTGTATGTGTGTATATATGTATGTGTGTGTGTGTGTATATATATATATATATTTTTTTTTTTTTTTCCCTTAAGGCAGAGTCTCGCTCTATCGCCCAGGCTAGAGTACTGTGGTGTCAGCCTAGCTCACAGCAACCTCAAACTCCTGGGCTTAAGCAATCCTCCTGCCTCAGCCTCCCTAATAACTGGAACTACTACCACGCCACCACGCCCAATAATTTTTTCCATTGTTAGTAGAGCAGTCTTGCTCTTGCTCAGGCTGGTCTCTGAACTCCAGAGCTCAAGCAGTCCTCCGCCTCAGCCCCTCAGAGTCCTAGGATTACAGGCGTGAGGCACTGCATCCAGCCTTGAATACTTTTTGATTCTTCCCCTAATTTACCAGTTGTCAGGATAATGAATTTGTTCCCTTATTATTTTTCAAAGGTGACCAATTCTTTACATAAATTAAAAAGTATTGTACTTTGAAAGATACTGAGACCTCAAGAAACCTCAGAAAGAAAAGGAATCTTTCTACTATCAATGAAGACTTTTTATTTATAATTACATGACTATAAACCTCACTCTTGTAAAGTAGGTCTATCTTGTATAACCTCAAAGGGTAGTTAGTTAATTGCCTAAGAACCTTATTACAAAATAGCTTTACCTGCTAGTTAGCACCTGTGTTCCACTATATATATATATAAACAGAAAGATATCTATATCTGAAAGCTTATGAGAAAACATAGATGTATTTTTTAAAGGAAGTTCATAAATTTTGGTTGTTTGAAATGGAATGTAGTTGTATTCCATTTTGTGCTGCTATAACAGAATACCTGAAACTGCCTAATTTATAAGAACAGAGATTTATATGGCTCAAAGTTATAGAGGCTGGGAAGTCCAAGGTGGAGGGACTCAAATCTGGGGAATATCTCATCTCATGAGAGAATGCATATGTGCATACAAAAGAGATAAAGAGGCCGGGTGCAATGGCTCACACCTGTACTCCTAGCATTTTGGGAGGCTGAGGTGGGAAGATTGCTTGAGCTCAGGAGTTCAATACCAGCCTGAGCAAGAGTAAGACCCCATCTCTACTAAAAAAAAAAAACAAATCAAAAGAGAGTGGGCGAGGAGGATGGGAGCTGAACTCATTCTTTTTATCAGGAACCTACTCTGATAACTAAACCACTCCCACAACAAGGGTAATAATCTATTCATGAGGAGCCACCCTTATGACCGAATCAACTCTTAAAGGTCCCATTTCTCAATACTGTTTCATTGGGGAATAAATTTCTAACACATGAACTTTGGAAGACACATTCAAACCGTAACAGTGGTCTTACCAAGTGCTTCTTGACTCAGAACCAGTTCATAGTAAAGAATATTCAATAAATGTCAAGATGACTTCCTTATTCTTTGTGTTTTCCCAATCAGAAGAAGTTAAATTTGTTGGTGGACCACTCTAAAGACTACTAAGACCCTTTGATCCTTACAGTTCCAATTGTTACTAAAGTTCTTTTCTCTTTTATATTTCTGTGGTCTGGATAGATTTAGTGATTTGTTCTGGTAACCAGGTTGTTGAGTATTTTTTTCCTTGCCTTCAACCAATTTTTAATTCTTTAATTTTTAAAATATACTATATGATCATATAGTTTAAGCATCAAAAAGTATAAAAAGATAGGGGGGAGGGGAGACAAGGGCAATGTATGTAACCTTAATGTTTGTACCCCCATAAATATGCTGAAATAAAAAAAAAAGTATAAAAAGATATATAGAGAGATAGATATATAGTGAATAATAATTTATTAGCCAGTACCCTGTTGATAGATGTTTATATTGTTTCTCATTTTTACTATTAATAAACAGTGCTGCAATGAGCCACTTTGTGCATTCATCATCGCACAAGTGTAAATTCCTAGAAATATTATTGCTGAGTCAAAAGTCATTTGTAATGTGGTTAGATTTTGCCTAATTCTAATTGTATCAATTTATACTACTAGCAGGAAGTTGTCTGTTTCTCTGTAAGTTCACAAATTCAATGTGTTATCAAGGTTGGGTTATTTTTTTTTTTTTTGATCAACTGATAGTAGAAAATGGTATAGAATTAATTTAATTTACTTATCAGTGAAATTGAACATGTTTTTATCAGTAAAAGCAATTTGTATTTCATTTTCTATAACTTTTATGTGTATATCCTTTGCTCATTTCTAGGGGTTTGGGCTTTTAAAAAATTATACAATTCCAGCTCTTAAAGTGACTAGCTATTTGTCATAGAGTTGTAAATATATTTTCTCAAGGTGTCATTTTTTTCTTCTGTTGGCAATATTTTTTCCTTGTTTTTTTTTTTTTTTTTTAAGAGATGGGGTCTTGCTCTGTTGCCCAGGCTAGAATGTAGTGCTACAATCATAGTTCACTGTAACTTTGAAATCCTGGACTCAAGTGGTCCTCCAACCTCAACCTCTGAAGTAGCTAGGACTATAGTCGTGCACCACTACACTTAGCTAATTTTTTTATATTTATTTTTTTTTTCTTATTTTTTTTTTTTTTCTTTACCAAAATTCTTAGTAAAAATATATTTATTTTTTGTAGAGATGAGGTCTTGCTATGTTGCCCAAGCTGGGCTTGAACTCCTGGCCTCAAGCAATTCTCCCCCACCTTGGCCTCCCAAAATGCTGAGATTATAGGCATGAACCACTGTGTCCGGCCTTTTTCCTTGATAATTTTTAATTCTTGTTAGTTCAATTTGAGAAAGGGATTTGGGTGGCTGGTGTCCTCTTGTGCTTGAATTTACATTACTTCCAGGATACAGTCATAAGACTTGAAAGTTCAAAGTTTAAGGCAGATCATGGATTTTGAAACTGGCAATAAAAACATGATGCAGACTAAATGATACCCTTTACCATTTAGTAGGAAACATTTAGCAATAAAGTATGTCACGTATCTTAAATTTTGACTTTTTTTGTTTTTTTAAATTGTGGTAAATATGTACAATATAAAATTTACTATTTAGCCATTTTTAAGTATACAAGTCAGTGGTATTAAGTAAATTCACATTGTTGCACAATCATCACCACCATCCATTTCCAGAACTTTATCTTCCCAAACTGAAACTCCATCTATTGACTAAAACTCCCTCATTCCTTCTTCCAGCCCATGGCAACTACCATTCTCTTTCCATCTCTATGACTTTTACTATTGTGGGTACCTCATACAATATTTGGTCTTTTGTGTTTTGATTATTCACTTAGTATAATGTATTCAGTGTTCATTCATGTTGTAGCATGTGTCAGAATTTTATTCCTTAAGGCTGAATGTTCTATTGTTTGTATATACCACACTTTGTTTCTCCATTGATGGACATTTATCTCTTCTCTTTAACAAGGTTATTAAATAAAACCCTATTTTATACTAAATGATGCTTTCTTTTCTTTCATATATTCAGGCAGATTCTTTCAAAATGGGACAAGAGTTCGTGAAACACTTCCCTAGCAGTGCAGACAAGCTAACTAACCTTAATCTGGTTTCTAGAACTTTAAATTTAGATGACCAAGTTGTGTCCCAAAAACCTGCTGAGTGCCAGAATTCTAGTAAAACATCTATCAGTGCCACATCAGAAAGACTCTTATTACAAGATGCCTCTAAGAAGGAGTGCTTCAATCAAACACTTTCAACCAACAAAAGTAGTTATACAAGTTGCAGCTCTCAGTCATACCACCTACTCAGTAAAGAACAAAGAAGAAACAATCTTCAGAAAGAATCTTTAATATTTATGAAAGGAGTCATGGATGAATGTACTCATGTAGCAAATTTCTCAGGTACTTATTTTTATATGAAATTGAGAATATTTGATATGTAAATATTTATAAAATATTTTTAAGGATGCTTTGTAAAATATCATATTTTCAAGGATAAAGGATATATTTTTTTGTTGGCTCCAAAATGTATTTGCCAAAATAAGTTGGTTACTTACATGTATCATATTTATCATATGAAAATCTAAGATCTTATTCATTAAAAAATACATTGGATTTTGTATCTTCTTTAGACTATTTATCTCATTGTATAGGAGATGAATAACATGGTAATATGGCATATTATAATTGATTTTCAATTTAAGCCAAGAGTTTTAGTTTGATGAATATTTCACTTACTGTATTGTGTGGTGTATTTTATTTTCTAATATGATGGATAGTATTTATATGAAAATCTTAGAGCTTTTTAAGTGTGTCTATGCTGAATTTTTAAAAATCCTATACCTAGTTCCAGTTGACCCAAGCCTCATAATAGTGGTTCAAGCCAAAGAAGATGCCTATATTCCACGAACAGGAGTTAGAAGTCTACAAGAAATTTGGCCTGGCTGTGAAATCCGATATCTAGAAGGGGGTCATATTAGTGCTTATCTTTTTAAGCAAGGACTCTTCAGGTAAGATGATTGGTCTAACAGTTGTTTATTTATTGTTTGTTTTTTTTTGGGGGGTGGTATTTTGTTGCCTCAACAAATATAAAAGATTAGGTGGTATTTATATTGTATGTTTTAGTCCTCTTATTTCTTCCTTGATTCTCACAAATCTCACATTGGGGTACTTTTCCTTCTTTCCTATCTTGTCGTCTTTCTTTTTTTTTTTTTCTTTATAGACATTTGATTTTAAAGCAGCTTTTTAATATTAACAGTGGGTTTTAACAAAGAAAACACTAAAATAAAAGAGGAACACACCACTGGCATTTATTTTCTTTTTCTTCTAGAGAGCAAGGGTTGTAACATATCATAGGTATGCTTTATCATGTGGTTTTACCCTCTTGAAATATTAATGGCCCGGTATTTTAGGGTGTGGGGAAGAATATCACAGTTTGTAAGAGTTGCTTTGGTTCATCAACAATTTTTTCACTCTACTCTGATATTCTCTCTTAATGGCCTTAGCATCTATGGAATATTCTTACAGTTCTTTAGTTAGCAAGTGAATATTGAACTTTAAGTAGTTTTGTTAGCAACCTTATATGATGCCACTATTTTAGTTAGAACTTATAAAAACTTTTAAGCTGTAACTCCACTTTTCTGATATTCTGCATTATTTCTACTTCTATACAAATTTGATGGTAAATTGTATCATTGGAATATATTTACCATTAAAGGTTAAATATATGAGTTCGCATAAATGCTTAGATCAGTGCCCTAAATATAATAGTTTAAAAACTGCCGACTGGATAACTATATAATAGGAGAGTTGTGATATATGTTTGACATGTTTTTGCTTTTGTTAACATAAAAAATCCTTTGCATGTTGTTGGTTATTTAGTTCAACTTATAAATGTCACTTTTTTGAGATACAGATTAATTCTTCAAGTCTGTTATATCTTGAAGGATTTGGTAAACCTTTCCTTTTATAGTACGATCTTTTAAAAAATATTCATTCAACATTTGAGTCCCTATTAGTTGGTAAGTGAACAGACTATCTGATACTCAGTGACTCTCTGGCACAGCAAAACTAAAACAAACAAAAAAATACGTAGGGTTGCTAGAGTTGCTTAAGAAGAGTCTAAAGTTTTGTTATATATGTGAATGCAGAGGATCCACATGCTTGTATTAGTAAGTCAGTATCAAATTTCTTTTGCTCTTTTGTATATCTAGATGGAAGTATAGCTAAGAGGGGTTAGGAAGAATAGCCATAATCAAAGTTAGATGTAAAAAGTCAAAAGTGCTAATATGAAAGCTTCATTTGAGAAAGAGATAAAGTTAACTATTACTGTGTGCTAGATACTAGGGCAATAGCTTCATGTATCCCCTTTATTCAGCTTAAATGGAACAAAAAGATTAAGTAACTTCCTCAGTGGAGTTTACTACTAAGCTATTTGGCCTCTCCTACTCTCCACCAGTCGCTTCAAAACTTAACAGAGTTTAGATGACATTGGAATAAAGATTCAGTCTTTTCACTTATTAAATGTAAAAGAAGCCACTCCTTTATAAGCTCCAATGTTGTGTTATTTAGTTAATTGATAATACAAATGAATAAGAGACTATTCAAATGATTAAAAAGGCATATGTATACCTTTTTTAATCTTCCTCATACCATGTACACAAGCCCAAATTGCAACCTTAGGCATCAGAAGTATTAATAAAACAAATTCAGATTCATTCTACCAGAGCAAGTGCCCAGAACTAATTCTGAAGAAAAAAAAATCATCCAGTGGGCAAACATCCCAAGGTCCTCTCTCCCTCTGTTCTCACACTTGCCCTCAAAACAAAATCTCTTTATGTGTTTACATCAGCATGCAAAACATCCAGCTTTAATTTGTTTCCCTTCTCATGGTTTGTTATAATTTACAAGGAACCATTCTTGAGCCAAAGAAATACAAGTGTTAGAAAGTTGTGTTTTCCTAATGTATTGGAAATAATAATCTGTTATCAGGCTGTCAGTTTTAAAGATAATATCTTTGTTAGGATGTAGGGACATGCTTAAACAAGTAGCATATGAAATTAATATCTTATAATTATTGTTTAAACTAGGTTAAAATATAGACATATGCATTTTTTTTTTTAAAGCCTAGAGGAGCCAGGCATGGTGGCTCCTAGCACTTTGGGAGGCCAAGGGAAGAGAATCACTTGAGCCCAGGAATTTGAGGTTGCAGTGAGCTATGATGACACTACTGCACACTAGCCTGGGCAACAGAATAAGACCCTGTCTCAAAAAAGAAAATAAGCTCTAGAAAAAATGTGTTATGAACAGACGCGTATGCACAGATGTAATATGCGTCTGTGGTCCTAGCTACTTGGGAGGCTGAGGCAAGAGAATCGCTTGAGGCCAGTAGGTCAAGGCTATAGTATACCATGATCACCCCTGTGAAGAGCCACTATACTCTAGCCTTGGCAAGACAGTGAAACCTCATTTCTAAAAAGAAAGAAAAAATATCTTACAGAAGGTCAGAACAATTTATCTATTCCTTTTCAATTGAAATATTAAAATACCTAGTAAAGGCCGGCCATGGTGGCTAACACCTGTAATCCTAGCACTCTGGGAAGCCGGCAGATCTCTCAAGGTCAGGAGTTCGAAACCAGCCTGAGCAAGAGCGAGACCCCGACTCTACTAAAAATAGAAACAAATTAATTGGCAAACTAAAAATACATAGAAAAAATTAGCCGGGTATGCTGGCACATGCCTGTAGTCCCAGCTACTCGGGAGGCTGAGGCAGAAGGATTGCTTGAGCCCAGGAGTTTGAGGTTGCTGTGAGCTAGGCTGACGCCACGGCTAAGGCAACAGAGTGAGACTCTGCCTCAAAAAGAATAAAAATAAAAAATAAAATACCTAGTGAAGTTAATGTAGGAAATCAAGGCTTTTGACTTTAAATTCAGTTGCTAGAACATGTCCTTAGTAAACAAAAACATCTATATCATAATCTATGAAATAGACTAAATTTCACTTTCTGAAAAGTTACGTAATTAATTTTCAAAGTGACAAAAAGAATAAAGAGAAACCAGTTCCTTTTTATCATTTCATATATTTTAAATTTATTATATATATTCTAAGGCACAAAAAAGTGCTTCAGAAAAAGATGATGCTTCTAGATCTATCATCAGTTGGAAACACATTTGAGGTTTTCCAGTAGGGGTGTTTTCCAGTAGGGGTGGTGAAGTTACAGGGATCTAAACACCCATCCTGAGGTAACTACCTCTTTAATAACTCTTTAGAAAGAAGGTCAGGTTGCAAGTCACACATAATTTGGAAATAACTTATAGTAAATATGTTGTCTGTCTCCCTTTTTGGTATTTACTTTTAGTTTTTCTTTCATATTTAATTTTAGACAAGCCATCTATGATGCATTTGAACGCTTCCTCCATAAATACGCTAACTAATTGGATCACTTCATGTAACGGGTACAGCCGTCATGTTTCTTACAAAAGGAATTTTCATCTTATGTGAAGAACAAGCAGACAGCACTATATATCTAATTGCTATCAATTTAGTCTGGAATTCAGTATTACAGATCCATCAGCTATAAACTTTGAATACATCTGAATAATTTTAAAACAACATTTGAATTAAATAATGTTAAAATATTTTTATTATTGTTTATTGGAAGCCCATATACTCACTATCTAGTCTGTTGTTGCTATTTATGAAAACTTTAAATTTTTAATTATGAATAATTCATTAATTTAAAATAAATTTATTCATAAAAACCCTATTGGTTTTTAATAGAATTGCTAAATCAAACTAAGATTGTAATATATCAGCCTGTACTGTGTACCCTTATAATGACATTTTGCTACTGATTTGAGAAACATGTTTTTCTTTTTTGAATATCTGGTGAATTTATAATCTAGTTTTCAACTTTAGTTAACTTTCTGCCATGGAAATAAATACTTACCATGTATAAAATCAGTGTTAACTTTGAATTCTAAAAAATCCTGATTGCCTTGTATATAAGTGCTTTTAATAATCAAAGTGGATGTTGAAATGCAGATAAGATGCATTAGTTTTGGCTAGACTTTAAAACTTTATCAAAGATTAGGTTAGAAAAAAATGCCAAACATATTTCCCCTACTTAAAAAGTTTCAATTCACGAAAAATGGAAATATTGGAAGACCTATTGCATTAATTGATGGATACTGTGTCAAGCATTTTTTTGTTGAGCACCACAGTAGTCTTGAAAAAGAATATAAAAAAAAAAAAAAAAAAAAGAAGCATTTTTTTGTATGCCTACTCTTCAGTTTGCTAAACATCTGATTTTATCCAAGCTTTGGTTTTTTTTTCTTTTTTAAGAATGAGGCAATTTATTAACCCAGCATCATTTGTTCTAATGCTTCTTGTTGGCAGCTGCCACCTGTCCAGCAATTCTTTCCAGAGCTTTGGCTTTTTAATTTCAGAATTTAATAGCCACATATGAAATTGATTTGTCCTATATAAACTTTATTTTATAGAAAAGACTTGAAGTTTTATATAATAACTACTAACTTTTATTTTTTTCAATCAACGACTAACTTTTAAAAATGGGGGCTTATCAGGCTAGATTTGGTGCTTTCTTTTTATGTTAAACTTCTCTAGCTGAGCGCTAAAATGTCAAAGAAAAAAGTAGAAAATGTTGTTGGGTATTGTGTGAAGGTTTGGAGAAAGTGTATTTGAGTTTTGTTTGAAATCTTTGAGTTGTCTACAAATTCTTTTTAAATAGGTATTCTTAGTCTTGTGAGAATATTTGAATAATGTGCCTTTGTAGCATTTTTAAAGGAGATTTCGGCCAGGTGCGGTGGCTCATGCCTGTAATCCTCGCACTCTGGGAGGCTGAGGCAGGCGGATTGCTCAAGGTCGGGAGTTCAAAACCAGCCTGAGCAAGAGTGAGACCCCATCTCTACTAAAAATAGAAAGAAATTGGCCAAATAATATATATAAGAAAAAATTAGCCGGGCATCGTGGCGCATGCCTGTAGTCCCAGCCACTGAGGAGGCTGAGGCAGTAGGATTGCTTGAGCCCAGGAGATTGAGGTTGCTGTGAGCTAGGCTGACACCACGGCACTCACTCTAGCTGGGGCAACAAAGCAAAACTCTGTCTCAAAAAAAAAAAAGATTTCATTTATCACTCTAATAATGCCTCATCCATAGTCAACTATTTAAAAATTAATGTGAAGTCATGATGGCAGATAAAGTAGTAACTTCTTTAAAAATGCTTTAGCATATTACAGATTTTAAGGTTTCAATAAAAAAAAAAAAAAAAATGCTTTAGCATAATAAACCAACGCTGCATAGCTATTTCAACTATAGCAATTTTACATATTCAGATGAGAAACTTTATATTTAACTAAAAGTACAAAATCTAAAGTTCTTCCACAAAATACCCTTTAAAGATAAAGTAGCACTTAATGGCAACTGAATTACAATGATTTTCTTATATCATGTTTATAGTGAGATGATATGAGTGAATGTTTTCTGAACACAGCTTTAGTAAAACCAATACTTTATTTTTTACAAAAATGTTTCTTACTAAGCAATAATTTACTATAGTGTGTGAATTTATATTGGTAAAAGAATGAGGCTGGGTGCGGTGGCTCACACCTGTGATCCTATCACTTTGAGAGGATCACTTGAGGCCAGGGTTTGAGACTAGCCTGAGCACCATAGTGGGACCCTGTCTCTACAAAAAATACAAAAATTAGCCAGGCATGGTGGAGTGCATCTATAGTTTCAGGTACTCAGAAAGCTGAGGCAGGAGGATCCCTTGAGCCCAGGAGTTTGAGGTTGCAGTGAGTTATGATGATGCCACTGTACTCTAGCCTGAGCAACAGAGTGAGCGAGACCCTATCTCAAAAAAAATAAATAAATAAAATTTTGATTTTGTTTTAATTCTTAGGTATAACTGATTGTTCCCAAATAAAATGTGAAAGATGGTATTTTAAAAATTTCATCTCTTAACCAGATATTTTAAGAATATATCCATGAAACTACCTCAGTTAATTCAAGGTGCAAAATACCTTTTCATAGAGTTTTTTTTATTCACTCTCCCCAAAATAATGGCTCGAGTATTCTCAAATATACATGTACATACACACACACACACACACACACACACACATATATAAAAAAAACCTCAACGAAATACTGCCTGCCATTTGTCTGCCATTTTGAGGATGAGATACTACATAAAATGCTAGAAATTATTAGACCAGAGTTATAAACTGTTAGTCCACACAGGCCAGTTTGACCCATAGTTGTTTTATTTAATATTTGGTGTATATAATGTTTCAAAGATTTCTGAATTTGTCCTTCTCGCAGGCCTGGTAAAAGAAAGATAAAAATATTAACATAAAATATAAAATTTTATATTAAAAAAAAAGATTTCTGAATTTGTAAAGTCTTTAGATTGGGCATGCATTCCTCAGTTTGCCACCGTCCACAGGACTCTCTCTTGTATCAGACTACTTCTCCAGTTTGTATTTCCTCCTCAGCCCTGAAGATATTGTAAGATTGTGACCTCTGATTTAAATCTGTGATTAGAAAAAGTTTCCAAATTTCATGATTTGCTAATGTTGTAATTACTATTAAGTCATTTTAGCATATGTATTTTAGACTGTTTATGAATGTATTTTTTAATGTGGTGCTTTCTCATAAAAATTATTGAATTGTTTAACTGAAATATTAAAAATGATTTCCAAATATTTTATATTTCATAATAAAAGTCTATTTAAAAAGCTAATCATTTGGGTTTTTTTCTTTCAAGAGGTATTGGAAATCCAGAGGACACATGTCACATTTGATTAATGTACCCAAATTTGAACTATGTATGTTCCCCCCGAGTTATTTATGTCCCAAACAAGGTAAGGCAGAAATAAGTAAGGGAGGCTTTAGCAGAAAAGTATTAGTATCTATAACAAGAACCAAACTTCCCCCAATATATGTGTGATGTGAGAGAAACAAGCATTTTGACATGGCATTATGTCAAATTACTCAATATTGGATACATTTATACTAGTAAATATACTACAAACAATTAAAATCTAGAGTTATAAATTAACCAAAGGATTCAGTTGGTGGCTCCTATAGAAACTGAGTTTGACATGTTTGAAGCTCTTACTCGAGGGGGAGGGGGGCATGGACAATATAAATAACCTTAACACTTGTACCCCCATAATATGCTAAAATAAAAAAAGAAAAAAAAAAAGAAACTGAGTTTGGAATGTAAGGAAAGATTATGGCAGGTGAGACAAAGGGAAAAGAGATACATTTTGGCCACTTTGCAGTAGGATAAACTAATTCCAGGAATATTCTTACAGGCAGAGTACTAGGAAACCAATGATTGTATGAAGTGTAAGCCAGGAATTGAATGGGCCAGTACCCTGATCTTGAACTTTACAACCTCCAGAACTGTGAGAAATAAATGTCTTGTTGTCTAAGCCACCCAGTTTTTGATATTCTATTACAGTAACCTCAGCAGACGAAGATAACAGGTCACGTAATCAAACATTAAGTAAATGTCCAACAGAACTTTCTATAATGATGAAAAGGTACTGCATCTGCTCTAATACAGTAGTCACTTTCCACATTGGCTGCTGATCATGTGAAATGGGGCTACCATAACTAAGGAACTTAATTTTTTATTTAACTTAAATTTTAAAAAACAATCATGTGTAACTAGTAGCTACTGTATTAGTACCAATATAAAAAAAAATCATAATGGAACAATAATGTAGATCTTTTGGATATATATCAAACACCTTGTTCTAAGAGAATATAACTTTTCTCAAGTACACATGGAATATTTCCAAAAGCCATATAAGAAAAGAAAATCAGTATGTTTCATGAAGTGAAAATATTATAAACATTCTTACTACATGTAATAAAACCATAATTTAAAGATAAATTACCACAAAGTTGCAATTATTGGTATGGTAGTGGCATAAAGACATATAGACTAACGGAATAAAATAATGAGCCCATCAATATACCCTTGAATGTATAATCAAGTGATTATTTTATTTTATTTTATCGAGACCAAGTCTGGCTCTGTCGCCCTGGATAGAGTGCAGTGGGGTCATCATAGCTCACTGCAGCCATAAAGTGATCCTCCTGCCTCAGCCTGCCAGAGTGCTAGGATTACAGGCTTGAGCCACCTCTCCCGGCCATCAAATGATTTTTTTGTTTTGTTTTGAGTCAAGGTCTCACTCTATTGCTCGGACTAGAGTGCCATGGCATCAACCTAGTTCACAGCAACTTCAAACTCCTGGGCTCAAGCCATCCTACTGCCTCAGCCTCCCAAGTAGCTGGGACTACAGGCATGCACCACCATGCCCGGCTAATATTTTCTATATATTTTTTAGTTGGCCAATTAATTTCTATTTTTTAGTAGAGACGGGGTCTCACTCTTGGTTCAGGCTGATTTTGAACTCTTGACCTTGAGTAATCCTCCTGCCTTGGCCTCCCAGAGTGCTAGGATTACAGGTGTGAGCCACCTTGCCCAGACTCTTCAAATGATTTTTGACAAGCTTTCTAAGACCATCCAATGTGGGAAAGGACCATATCTTCAACAAATGGGAAAACTGGATATCCAGATACAAAAAATGAAGTTGGACCCATACTTTTATACCATATCTAGAATGTTAACTCAAAATGGTTCAAAGCCCTAAATGTAAGAGCTAAAACTATAAAGTTTTTAGAAGAGAACATAGGGGAAAACCTTCATGATAATTGGATTTGTCAATCATTCTTTGCTATGATACCAGAAGCACAGGCAACAAAAGAAAAAATACATAAATTGGATTTTACCAAATTTAAAAACGTTTGGGCATTAAAGGACACTATTGAGAGTGAAATAGCAACCCCCAGAATGGTAGAAAATATTTGCAAATAATATATCTGAAAAAGGACTAAAATCCAGAATATATAAAGAACTACAACTCTACAACAGGGCTCACCAAACTTTTCTTATAAAGGGCCAGATAGTAAATACTTCAGGCTTTGCAGGCCAAGATGCAAAACTGAGGATATTATATAGATACTTATATAAAAAGGAAGAAAAAATTTTCTACAGTTTTTTTATAAAATCCAAAATAATAATTGAGCACAATGGTTTCCAATATAGGTCTACTAATGAGAAGCATGGGATTCTTTTTGGAGGAGATAATTCAAACTTTATATGCCCTATCCTCAGTCTGTTGTAAATATTCATCTGTTAATACTGATTTATAATGACATTTTACATATTATATC